GGGAAAGAGCTCTACACTAAATGCAAAAACTTACATGAAGCACATCCAATTTGAGACCAGGTGTTTCAAGATGAAGATTTCATAATGTTGTATCTCATCTGACAGAGGTTTAAGCAGATAGATACAACCTATTGTGCCTCTGTGCTCAATAGCACTTCCAAGAAAATGGATCAAAAAGACACTGCATGTACAAAGAAAAGACATGTATGACTAAAAATGGCAAAACCGATTGAAGAAAAATATGAAACCAGGCTTCTAGAATTTTCACTGGGACCAGAATGGGTGAGTTAACAGAGGTTTGGGAAAAAAAAAAAAAAAAAAAGGGGGTGGCATATGTGAAAAAAGAGAATTCACCCAACTATCTGGTGAGTATTAGGGGGTTTTATCGTAAGAGTTGCTATTCCAAAGGATTTAAAAGGTAGAATGTTTTGGTTTAGTGTGCATTACTTCCCTCCCCAACCTAAGTACTCAAAATAAGGCACCTAAATAAAGAAGGCTTGTTTGAAGATACTGTACATCACCAGCTCTCGCTGCACTGAAAACACTCATAGTTTCATTGTATGCTTGCAGCAATTTATGATTATACTTGTCTTCAGTTCTCATGCCACACTAAGTCATATCTTAAGCATTGATTTGAGCAAGGCATTCAGAGGGCTCTGAACCTTCACTTGGTGGAAGGAACTCAACATGTGCTGGAGAAGATGGGAAACAGCAAACTATGAAAGAACCGTAGACACTGCCTCTCCACTGGAACAGGCTAGGTACCAGGACCACAGCACTTTGGACTAATATTCAGAAGAATAGCCTGAGCATTGCCTAGGAAAAGTGCATGAACAGAGAGGAGAACAGAGGGAATTCCTAAGGAATAAAGATCTCAAAAGACAAGGACACAGAGTTAAAAGAAACAAGATTGTGGCAGCCAGAGATATTCTAACCAGCTTAAGCAGACTCTCAGTAAAGCAAGAGGAGAGCAGTACTTCTGGTCATGCTTTGATTCCTCTTGTTCAGAGCAGTCTCCTAGCTTTATAGAAAAGTACCTGAAACCTAGTTGCAAGACTATAGCCATAGGGGAATACAAAATTAGAAATGGTTATACAAGTAATCAAAAGGGGAAGAAATGGAAGTAATTGCATGGATTTAAAACCAGAAGAAATGAGTACGAAATAGTCAATAAGCAACATCATAGGTGTAAAACTTGCATGGTACCACTTGGGTGAGGCTCAGATCAGGATATAATAAAAACACATTTACCAATTATCTAAAGACACTTAGTAGTACGGTGATAGCCTGTGAAGCTCATAAAAATAATCTTTAAAAGCCTAACAGTAAAATTTAGTAATTGGCCAGCATATTAGATTAATTTCAGAATAATATATGCCAGAAGGAATGAAATGAAAGTCCTAAACTGGCTAAAGAAATCAGGAAATATTGGAGAGAGTTCTAGGATAACACATACTGAATATGCACTGATCATGAAAAGCAGAATTATTAGGATGAACTAGGCAAGCAAAAGCAAGTATTTGGTATTGTGTCAATATGACAAAACAGCTTTTAAAATGAGGAATGAAGTTCAGCAATTGTACCTGTAAGATTAAATACTAAACTAAAAAGATATAAGTAAACATCAGTCTCCAGGGCTTGAGATATGAGGTAAGGACTAACTCCTTAGCCTTAATAAGGCTGGATGATACTTAGTAACTGTTTTAGTAAAGATAATAACTCCTCAATGGTTATTCCTTATTTGAGACAAAACCACTCTACAAGGTAAGTCATTGACTGGGTCCAGTATAACCACAGTATTCTACAGTAACCATGTTCTATCCATCTGAGAGTCATCTAACTCATTCCTTCATTGTGGAACTCAGAAAAGGACAATTAAGAGGTATTTTTAAGTGAAAACACAGTGTAACAGTACTCTGCCCACATTTTAAATCAAAATCTCAGTCCAGATGTTGGCAACCTGGCTGAAATGCCCCTACGGGAACAACAAAATCCCTGTAGAGTATACAACTAAATTATTATGCCATGAATGACCACACCCTGCAAGCCACAGTTACACATCCCTGCTTTATTTAGCATAAATACA